GTGGGAAGTGTTGTCTAATGTTATCCCCACCCGGGGGCCTTAAGCATTACATCCTCCGCAGCTGACCAACGCCGCCCATCAACACCGTTTGCATGCTCTGCGCCCCACTCCACACTCAGACAAACAGGGAGAGACGTGCTGACGGGGTTGCTTTGGATCTCGACGGGGTCTGATCCCAAAACCACACTGACCGGGTAGCGTTTGGTCCAGTGGGAAGTGTTGTCTAATGTTATCCCCACCCGGGGGCCTTAAGCATTACATCCTCCGCAGCTGACCAACGCCGCCCATCAACACCGTTTGCATGCTCTGCGCCCCACTCCACACTCAGACAAACAGGGAGAGACGTGCTGACGGGGTTGCTTTGGATCTCGACGCCCGTGATCCCATAAGCGTTGAAGCAACCTTAAGTGGTCGCTTTAGAATCAAGGGCGGGGGTATCTACATCGTATCACTGGGATCGATGATACTCCGCCTCACCCCAAAAGCGTGGCTCACCAAGTCATACAGATGAAAGAGTCTGAGGGACCGCCCGGAGTACCGGCTGTATCTGACGCGAATGAACTGCGTCCTCTTTCACGTTAAATATGTGAGAGGGAACGTGTTCGACTGTGCGTCTCATGACAGGGACGGTTCCCTCTGGGGACGCCCGTGGATCGGCAAGAAAGGAGTCAAAACCCACAGCAGAGACCAGACACAAGAAAAAATTTGTTACCATTACCACGCGATGAACCCTAGCTGACTGAAAGTAAGGGGGTCAATGTGTGCTCTGCCCTGAAAGCCCTGCCAGAGATCGGAGGCTTAGCTGCCAGCACCCCATTGGCATTCAGTGCCTGAGGCTCCAGAGGAGGCCCAGTGCAATTAGCCTGAGCCTTGGTCTCCCCCGAAAATAGTGGGAGAGCCGCAGCTGGGAACGGGGGTTCCCCGGAAGAGACGTGTTTGAATGCAAACATGCTTTCCTGTCTTTTCCTGCTTGCCCACCGAGGGGACACAGTGGAAACAGCTCGCTCTGACTATGTCTGATCTACCCGGCCTGCCAGGGATGCAATTGTCCCGACAGTCCTTCGACCAAAGCCCTCAACTCGGAGGCAAACCCGGCGCTGTGCAAGGAAGGGTCCACAAAGGAACCTGCAACAGCCCCCATAGGAGGAAAGCCTCCAGGGGCACAGCCTCGCTGCAGCCCGTAAAATCAGGTAAACCACTGCCTGAAAAAACAGACTGTGAGGATGCCCTCCGATCAGAGGGGGAGACCGAGAAAAATATTGGTACCTCCACAGTCGGTCCTCTTACTCGACGTCCCAGTACACGAAGTACCGGTAGCCGAGCGTGAGGACTTTTCACTCATGCAAAACACGTAACTCACCTTAACCGATTTGTTTACCTTGCTGTGACGCGGTCAGTCTCAGCGATTTTGATGGCTCTGAAAGAAAATCTCAGGCCTCAGAACACCAGTGAAAAAACACACACCTTCACGCAAAAACCCCAAACCCCGCACGCAGCTACGACAAAGTATCTCAGATGCAGGTTCTATGCTGGTAAATTCTGAATATAACCACTGCACGGTCGACTCGAAACACAAGGAGACCGGAAAGAAAACAGCAGCGAGCCCTGGTGCTGTCATTACATCTATATATTGCTAAATACATTGTAAATAAAAGACGACATGCATGAGGGAAACGAATTACAGTTGTAAAAGATGCCGCCATGAAACCAAAATGTGGCTACGTAGTGGCGCCGGGTTTTAATTTCTTTGTTGTCGAAAAGCATAACATACAAAGTAGAAAACGACACGAGGGTAAAAAGACAAGAAAAACTTATCCTACCAGCTGGAATGTCGGATGCCGCGGCTGCGGCTGCGGCGACGACCCACGGTAGAACCCCGAACAGGAAAAGCAACAGAGCCAGGCAGAGCCACTCAGAATCATTCCCCGACAAGGCGGAGAAAAATTAAGAGTGATTGACGGCTACCTATGGCACTGCCATGTGGCCTCGGTCACGTGGGTTCGTGACGTAAGGGGTAAAAGAATCTTGAGGTCATGGGGCTTCCCCTGACCTAGATTCTATCTCTCAGTCACCGGCAGAATCGCTGATTAATGCCTACAGTTCAAAATAGTCATTTTGACTGACCGGAGTCTATGGTGGGTAATTGAACGTAGTGAATTTTGCGATTTTATTGCAATCAGTCAGTTTGATATCAAAATCCTAAATAGCAGATGTACCCAAATATATCATGCCTTTGTACCCAAATTTAAATAATTTAAATAGAATCTGAAACACTGAAAAATACAAAATTGGGCCAAATTAAAAAAATGTTTTCAATTTATGGATGGCTCCCGATCAGACCTAAATGATAGCAATGTTGTCATTTCATTCATCCTTTTCACACAAGTGATTACTTGTATAGAAACCATTTATTACAGCAGACATCGAAATATAAATTGAAACAACTATTTACCTACCAGTATTCTTATTTATAATCGATATTCAACCATGGGAAGTTTGCATAGCAAAAGTTCCACTATATTTGATGATTGTATGCTTGAGATCAATTCAATTTTCTTTCTCAACATAACATGGGTTACCTGGGTAAAATGAATAAGCAAATTTCCTCATTGTTGTTTTACTATCCGGCACCTTTCTAAAAATTCGGTGTGTCTAGGTGCAAAACAAACACCGAAATTTTTAGGGGGACAGCAGTCATGAGTTCTGGCAACCACTGAAATGGTTATGGACACAATCACAAATCAATCAAGGACTTTTTTGGCACAATTAAACACAACGAAAAACGCATTACATGAAAAACAAATCAAAAATGAACAGCACGTGCATGCCCGTTTAATACATTAAATAAGATACATTGTAAGGCATTTTAATTTGAATAGCATGCACAAACAAATCTGTACAATAGATGACAACTCTTGTACTAACATGTTTGCTAAAATACTTCATGACTTAACACATGTTCGTCTGGCTATCGGAATAGTGAGGGGCATTCTGTGTGTGTGTGTGTGTGTGTGTGCGTGAAAGAAATAACATAGTATTCACGTATAACATCTCACATCACTGATATCTCGTCTGATTCTTGGAATGTATGGGGAACATGAAAGTGTCCCAGATTATGTTATGTGTGGACATGTAACCTAAGAGTATCAATTGATAGCATATGCACATAATATTGTCGATAATGATATCCACACTCCTATCAAACACTACATGAACTAAGCTTACATTTACTATGACAGAGTGCAAAAGAAGTGTTACAGTGGATTTGAGGATAAAGATATTACAATGTCATTTCAATACAATTCCTGGGTATTGAATTTGGAATACAGATTTCAATTTTATAATACATCAGTTAATAGTTTTGTTTATCGTTGTAATGTACAATGTCTATTAAAATGTTTCACTCTGTATTGAATTTTTGTTCCACTTAAACATCAGTTCTACTGTATCTTGTGAATAAAGGAAATAAATAAGACAGATATAGGGCAATAAATGATAGCTTCAGTACAATGCACATACTCAAAATATTGATCAACACAGAACTTTACCACAAACACCCCCCCCCCCCCACATTTTTAAAAATATTTGTTAATTTTTTATAAAATTGAATGAAAGTACTGATTCAAATATTCCCAAGTATGCAAATGCTTTCCAAAGACTTGTCCAGTCTGCTTTTGGACATTTAAGACAATTGTGCCAACAATACACCAAGCAAAAATGAAAAAAAAAACTATTTACTTTTTAAGCGAGGTGAGAAAAATTAGAAAACATATAACATGATCTTTCAAGGAATTTAAAATATTTATATATAAGATTTGTTTACAAATATTAGAACAAAAAACACATCACAGAATAGGGATCAAGACAATTTATAATATATAATGTATTTAGTTAAAAACATAAATGGTTCATCCAGGATGCAGTAGACTTTCATAGAAATTAAAAATACCAAGTTTAAAACATGCATTTTTAATATTGTTGTTTGATACTCCATACTGTAAAATCAAATCAGATTATGATTTTAAAATGTGGCATTTGCAAGACGTATAATAGTATTTGCTAGATAAAAAATAAAACGCTAATATGCATGTGTAGTAATTATTATACGTACAAAACCAGTCAGTACACACGCTTACTAAAAAATGTAATTGTTTCTTTAAACAAATGTGTGCCAAAGTGTTTGGTTTAGGAGATTTCACAGTCCAATATAACTGTCATTATAGAATATCAAACAAAAGTCCTAAAAATATCATGTTTTCGTCCATATTGCATCTTCAAGTTGCTATAGTAGTTTACTAATACCTTATGCAAAAAAAAAAACATGTTGTAATATATACTTAACCACAAGTGATGAAGACAATTTGACCATTCAGAAAAATGATTGTGAGTCATTCAATGTAATCTGAGTTGCCCTAATATTACTGTGATTAACACTTGTGAGGAAAATAACATTCACATAACTATTTTAGTTAAATATCTCGACTGTGTAAAATTTCCTTGAAAGTCTACTATATCCTGAAGGGGAAATATCATACAAATGTTTAAGGTAGCTTTGCTTTATAAAAAAAATGTTCACTATATACATTTTTAATCTGTATGGAACTATTACACAAATATTTAATGTACTGGTGATGCACATCAATAAAAACATCTTTTTAATAATAACTTTATTATTTAGGTAATGTCAGTCTGCCTTGGTACGACCACGTCACATTAGTCATTGCAACTGCTGCAAACATCTTCAAAGATTAGTCCTGGGCGTTCATGGTTCACATACATAAGTACTTGATGCAGGTGGAGAAAGGGACAACAAAATGTTTGGATAATGCATTCCAACATAGGTATGTCCATTACATTCAGCTTTACTTAATCCACAGCTGATGAGGGTGAGTGACATAATGTTTCTTGTGTTTATTCTTTGCCACATTCTCATGAGTTCCGCCACCAATATATTATCTTTAAAGGCATTGTTCACAAAATACAAAGACACATTTATTCATCTAAGGCATCATGCTGCTGTGTGTTGAACACAATGATAAGTCTCTTTTAAAATTGATGTGGTAATCCACGTAGCTGCCGTCTTGAGTCTCACAATTTGTTGACGACTGAAATAAAATGAAATAACGTAACAATATGCAAATATGCCAAATGGGTTTTTCATGTACTGCAGAAAATACACTGCAATAGACTGTTTGAAATATTTTATATTAACCATTGTGGTTGCGGGTTGATGAATTGTAAATTAACATAAACATACACTGTGCATTGTAATTAAAAAAAATAACGCAAAATAGTTCCTCAAGTATGCTACCAAAGTTTTCTGGGGGGAAAAATTTTGTTGTTGTTGTAGGGGACATAATTGGGGTCCTTGGATTACAAAAGCTTAATAAACATTTTTCTATTCTGCAATTTTTGGCAAACATCTGATACTGTAAGTTGCTTAATTTTTGATGGTATTTGTGAAGACAAAAATTTGCTGACAACTCTGTTTTGTATACACAAATGAATTGCATGCTACAAGGTTTCAAGACTTTTACAAACTCACGAATTTTGTGAAATGTGTCTACTGTAGAATACTTTATTTTCGCTTGGAATTAATTTTCGCTATTTTTGCTGGGGAGATGATTCTGCGAAAATAAAATCCAGCAAATATACTTTATTTCCAATATTTCACATTAAACTCATCAAAAATCAGTGAAAATAAATTCCATACAAAACGCCCAAAAAGCCTTTTCAGCGAAAATAAAGTATTCCACAGTATCATAAAATTAAAGTGGTTTACAGCATACAAAATATCAGGAAAAAGACGTTCAGTGGTTTTGCACATTGAGGATGTGAAGCATAACTTGTTTTCCAACCAAAGTGTATATGCCATTTGTAAGCACAATCACAATTACATAGCATCT